CCATCACTCCCTCTGTGTGGGATGCCGCCACATCATGAATGATCCTTTAACTGAGAGGAGGGGTGGCAGAGGGAAGGAAGAAAAGACAAAGGAAGATGCTGGGTGTCTGGGTAAAGTGTAGCAGCTGATCTGCCGATCCTTCGAGTGTTCCTCTCAGACTCAGTCCCTTACTGCAAGCCGGCTGGCAGCTGATCACTGTGGATTTCCAGCCCTTTTCTTCCCATTCATCAGCAGAGGCGAAGCTGCACCTGCGGAGAAAGGTAATGTCTGAATCTTATGCTTTGTGTCTGCGTGAGTGTGACCTGATCAGCCGCACATCCATCACATGTGCAATGTGTCACTGAGTGATGATATCATCATGATCCCACAGCTTGCTCTTCTAGTGCCTGCTGATCTGTATCAGTGTTGGTGGTGGTGTGTTATGTTGGATCTGTCACTGTGTAAGATTGTTCAGTTCACCTGCCTACTGTCACAGTGATGTATCTCCCCCGTTGCCTGGGATTTCCAGCTTGGGATTTGTCAGGGGGGGATTCATCATCCTTCAGTCACTGCAACTGCCACCCTGCCACTGCCAGCCACAGCCCGTGCATGACACTGATTTTGTCTCTAATATCAGTGCTGGTGACATCTTATGGCACTTATTTTTGCAAATTAAAAGAAATTTAGCAGTTTTATGTTTTGTTGACTGTTTAATATTTTCTACTGGTTTTAAAATTATTTGTTTATTTATTGGGGGGGGGGGGCACAAGTAGCTGGTTTTGCCTACCGGCCCTGCTAGTGATCCTGTCATGAAACACCTTGTTCAAATACGTCCTGTTATAGGGTAACAACACTCCCTATTTCCATTAGCACTCTCATGCTATCACCCTGTCACACAGTCTTCCAATAAAGACTACAAGTGTCTGTTTTAACACACACTATACAGGTATGGTCTAATGTTGCCACCATTAGGAAACCTACTGAAGGGACACAGCCCTAAGCAGGAGTGTCCCTAGCTCAAAGTACCGTATTTTTCGCTCCATAAGACGCACCTGACCATAAGACGCACCTAGGTTTTAGAGGTGAAAAACAAACAAAAAAAAAATATTCTGAACCAATGGACTGCAGACACAGTACAGGGGATGACCAGAGACTGCGGACACAGTACAGGAGATGACCAGAGACTGCGGACACAGTACAGGAGATGACCAGAGACTGCGGACACAGTACAGGAGATGACCAGAGACTGCGGACACAGTACAGTAGATGACCAGAGACTGCAGAAATAGTGCAGGAGATGACCAGAGACTGCAGACACAGTACAGGAGATGACCAGAGACTGCGGACACAGTACAGGAGATGACCAGAGACTGCAGAAACAGTACAGGAGATGACCAGAGACTGCGGACACAGTACAGGAGATGACCAGAGACTGCAGACACAGTACAGGAGATGACCAGAGACTGCAGAAACAGTGCAGGAGATGACCAGAGACTGCGGACACAGTGCAGGAGATGACCAGAGACTGCGGACATAGTACAGGATATGACCAGAGACTGCGGACATAGTGCAGATGACCAGAGACTGCGGACACAGTACAGGGAATGACCAGAGACTGCGGACACAGTGCAGGAGATGACCAGAGACTGCGGACACAGTACAGGGGATGACCAGAGACTGCGGACACAGTGCAGGAGATGACCAGAGACTGCGGACACAGTACAGGGAATGACCAGAGACTGCGGACAGTGCAGGGAATGACCAGAGACTGCGGCCAGTGCAGGGAATGACCAGAGACTGCGGACACAGTGCAGGGAATGACCAGAGACTGCGGACAGTGCAGGGAATGACCAGAGACTGCGGACAGTGCAGGGGATGACCAGAGACTGCGGACACAGTGCAGGGAATGACCAGAGACTGCGGACAGTGCAGGGAATGACCAGAGACTGCGGACACAGTGCATTGAATGACCAGAGACTGCGGACAGTGCAGGGAATGACCAGAGACTGCAGACAGTACAGGGAATGTCCAGAGACTGCAGACAGTGCAGGGGATGACCAGAGACTGCTGACCTTTGGGAAGGGAGGGGGAGCGGTTACCTGAATTTGACAGGTACCCGCTCCCACTTCCGCGGAGTTGCCTTTCCTCTTCTTCCCGGGCCGGCTTCTGTGACAGCCGGGTGCCCACTGCGCAGGTGCGAGAAGCACTTCGCTTTGTGAATGGCCCGGCGCCTTCTGGGACCCTTCATGTGTCCCAGAAGACACCGGATCATTCACAAAGCGCAGCACATGCGCAGTGGGCACCCGGCTGTCACAGAAGCCAGCGCGGGAAGACTGTGCAGCGCTGGAGCGAGGAACAGGTAAGGCCCTGCAGGAGACAACAGCTGAGCGGCCGGCCCGGTATTCTGACATGGTGGTGCAAAAATACTGGACCGGCCGCTTTATATTCGCTCCATAAGACGCACTAACATTTTCCCCCCTTTTTGGGGGGGAAAAAAGTGCGTCTTATGGTGCGAAAAATACGGTAACTGCTGTTGGGCTGCAGTCAGCCTATGTCTGGTTTGATAGTTCTTCTTCCTGTAGTTTTCCCCTAAGCTTTGGTCATTCACTATTTCTATCTCATTTTGGGAAGAGTCTCTGGCAATAATGTAAGAGGATCCAATCATGATATCTGACACCTGCTGACCCGCCAAAAGAAAAAACCCATTGTCTGCCAACATACAACTGTTGCTTGACACGAGGGACCATTTCTGGCCTTTTAGGCTGCATACTCAGAGGTTTGGTTTGGACTTTTTTTGGGCAGACCTCACACTTTTTTCAATTTAGCATAATTTATTTATTTATTTCAGGTACTTATATAGCGCTGTCAATTTACGCAGCGCTTTACATATGTATATACATATATATTGTACATTTACATCAGTCCCTAACCCTCAAGGGGTGTACAATCTAAGGTCATGGTTTTAGCATGGTGTTTGTGGCATCATTGATTTAGCATGGCCACATAACAATATTTGGACAATGTCGTTGACTAAACATTGTCATGTGACAATCAATAGTGTCCTTAATGCTTAGAAATACAGACAGATACTTATCCATCATGCCATACCATCAGATTGATGTGTGTTTGGCCCCCAAATGTATTCTGCGGCAGGACAACGATCCTAAACACACAGCCAATGTCATTAAGAACTATCTTCAGTTTAAAGAACAAGGAGTCCTGCAAGTGATGGTTTGGCTGCCACAGAGCCCTGATCTCAACATCATTAAGTCTATCTGGGATTAAATGAAGAGACCGAAGCATTTGAGGCCACTTACATCCACATAAGATCTGTGGTTAGTTTTCCAGGATGTTTGGAACCACCTACCTGCTGAGTTCTTTCAAAAACTGTGCAAGTGTACCTAGAAGAATTGATGCTGTTTTGAAGGCAAAGAGTGATCACAAAAAATATTGATTTGATTTGGATTTCGCTTCTGTCCACTTACTTTCCTTTTTAATAAACTCAACACTTCTGTTTCTGAAAGCATTCTTAAAGTAATTCTAAAGGTTGTAATTATAATATTTTTTAATTATTTTTTTTTATATAGCGGTTTTCCACAGCCCCAATCCTCTTCTTATTGGCTCCTCCCCTCCTGTTGATTGCCCCCCAATAGCAAGTCCCTTTCTATGAGGGCACTCAAGCAGGCTTGCTCCTGACCCCCACTCCTGTGAATGCACATTGAGATCTGGGAGAGCCGCTGCTCCCATGCACATTGTTGGATCAAGATGAGGCTCAGGTAGGTATGTGGGGAGGGGTGAGTTGCACTCAGAAGGTTTTTTACTTAATGCATAGAATGAATTAAGTAAAAAAAAAAACCTTTTGCCTTTAGAATCATCTTTTTAATTTAACTTAATTTAATTTACAGTATTTTTTCACACCTGCCTACCTGCCTAAAACATTTGCGCAGCAGTATGCGTGTGTATATATATACTATATATATATATACAGGGCTTAAAATTTCAACTCCTGAGCTACTAGCCAGGCCTTAGAGTCATTCGCCACCAACAAACACACATAAACAGAGACACCTGTACACACACACAGACATGTACATACACACAGAAACATGTACACAAGCGCACAGAGACACATGTACATACAGACACATGTATACACACACAGGAACGTACAGACATGCATACACACACAGATACATGTACATACACAGAAATAATATGCACAGACACATGTACATACATACACAGACACATGTACACACAGACACACAAACACACACACATGTACATGCACACACACACAGACACATGTACACACACACAGACACATGTACCCACACACATACATGTACATACACGCAGACACATGTACAGATATACACCATGTACATACACAACAGACACATGTACAATTGTACATGCAGACACACACAAACACACACACACCCACCCCCCCCCCCATAAAAAGTTGCAGTACTTTGTTGTTCACTCACAGATCCCGGGTGCACTCTAGGGGGAGGCAGAGAACACAGCACACACTCCTTGCTTTGCTTTCACTGCGCTCAGCTATTGAGCAGTCTAGACGGCTCCCAGTGCCAATGACTAGAGATGAGCGAAGTATTCAAAAATTCGATTCGACTGATTCGGCGGAATTCGTAGAAAAAATTCGATTCGAGTCGAATATATTCGCTGTGAATTTTAACTTAAAAAAGGGTGTTTCTAGGCTTCATGAGAGACTTAATATTAGTGTCTGCTGAACACTGTACCTTTAATTTTAAATGCCCTTGGAGTCTGCTGGGGAAGAGAAAATAATACTGTCAGGCAGTATATGGAACATGCAGATGAGTGCCGTTCGATCTTAGAATCACCGCACACTTCACTCATTTGGCCAGTCACGGGGCCAAAAAACCAGAGTGTGGAGCCACAGTGTGGCCGGTGGAGGCAGCAGCAATGGGGAAAGGCCATGCAGCACCCTATGACAAAAATGGAAACCACCAGCAGTGTGAGGAGACTGAAAGTGGCACATGGCAGAGAATGTGGCGATAGAGACAGCAGCAATGGGAGGCCGTACAGGCGACCCATGACACACTCTGGACCTGGCAGCAGCATGAGGAGGCGGTACAGGGGCCCATGGCCAAATTACGGGTCCCTGGCAGCAGCATGAGAGAGTCGGGGGTAGGGGGGCCCATGGCAGATTACAGGCCCTGGCTTGCAGCAATGGGAGGCCGTACCAGGGACCCATGACATAATCTGGACTCCTAAGGCAGCAGCATGGGGAGCGGTACAGGTACAGGGGGCCCATGACAGATTCACGGGGCCTGGCAGCAGCATTTGGAGTCGGTAGGGGGCCCATGACACACTCTGGACCTGGCAGCAGCATGAGGAGGCGGGTACAGGGGCGCATAGACAGATTACAAGCTCGGCGCAGCAGCAACTTGGACAGGAGGACGTTCAGTTTCTGCACCGTCTGGTGCGTGCTCGCAAACTGTTGTCTCTTGAAAAGGATTTCCCAAAAAAAATGTGACGGAATCCGTGAAGAGGGTAGCAGGAGAAGGGGCACTGAACGAAACTATGGGCCCAAAAAGCGAAACAG